TAAGCATTTGAGGAAATGGGTCAGCATATTCTTGACCACTAAGTGGAGCTGTTCAGATTGCAAATCTGTCCCTAATAAACCCACAACTTCTTCAGGAATTTTTAAATAAAACTCTACAATATTCTTATTATGGGATGGATTTTTTTTTATTATTATTTTATTTATTTATTTTGATAATCTCTTTGGGTTTCCCTTTCTATATTAGTTCTTTAGCAGGTCTTTCACATTACACTTCTTTCAGTCTGCCAAATCAATATGCCCTGCCTCTGAGCTGGCAATAGCTACTACAGTAGTTAAGGCACAATAGAAGTAAAGTACACTGTATGTGGGAAAAGAAGGAATCAATATACTCCCATGAGTTAAATTAATGGGTGATAGATTGCAAAGCAGCATCCCAATTGAAGAGGTCAGTGGTTTTTTTTGTTTGTTTGTTTGTGTGTTATTTTATAAATTATTATTATTATTATTTTCCATAAGAATACTGTTGTAGACTTATCCTCCACATAAAACTTGCAGTTTGAATCCTGGCTTTTATAGCACTGCTCCACTTTGATCACAGCATCACTGAATAAGTTGCGAGATTCTGACAGCTGGTGGCAGGCAGTGAAGGAAAAACAACAACAACAAACAACAAAACAGGTTGCTTTGCTCTGGACCAGTGCTTTTATGCCTATGAGACTAGAGCATCTCTACCAGTTGTTAGCAGTACTGGTTGGTACATGGAGTAATTTGTACTCTGTGAGGAAGCCTTTCTATAGCTATTATCTGTATTAGAAGTTGGATTTCTCTAATACATAAACTGATCTTATGTAAGCTTCAAATATGACGGAACTTGGAAAATGAAATAAACTTTCTTCTATATTTGTTTTAAATGTATGGCTTAGAACTAGCTTTCAGAGACCTTAATACAACATATCTCCTGATATTTATATTTTAGTGCCATGTAATCCTGAAATTGTAAAGTAATGCATACAACTGGTCCTAGAATAAAGACTGAACATCGTACAATTTAATCCCTTTTTTCTGGAACCTCAACTAAGTGTAAGAGGAATACTAGTGACAGAAAGCAGCCAAAGAAAGACTACTCTGCTCCTAATAACTCTTAAGCAAGTTATTGCTTCATCACAGGACTTTCAGTGAGGAAACAGGAATTCAGCTTGTATTCCCTACCTTGGTTGCATGTGCAAAAGGAAGAGAAATCTCCTGAAGTTATATTAAGGTGAGCATGAGCCACAGGAATTCTAAAGGCTCTGTTGACAGCAGAGCGAGTCTGAGCTCCTAAATGAGTCACCAAAGCCACATGCCCATAGAGAGACAATCTGAAACCCTGACCACAATGGCCCTAAAATTCTCTCATATGTCACTACTAATTGACATCTTATTTAGGAAGCTAAGCAAAGCAGAAAACATCTTCCATGATCGCATATTTTGAAAAAAGCGGAACTAAAGGTGAAGAGGAAGCACTTTGCCCTTATCATCTCACTAATTGGAAAGATAATGCTGTTTAATGTTGATTGTACAAAATGAAATTTTGCATAGCTTATGAAACAATTATTTCAATATAAACTATTCTGTGCAAAGTACTGAGTATAAAACTAATGGACTTTCTGATGTACCTAGTTCAAGCAAATGCTATATGCACATAAGTACCTATCTAATCACTCACTTTCCAGACTGGTATTTTAAATTGTTTACTCACTGTCTGGCACATGCTTTTTCTTCTGCTTAATGTTTATAAAATTTAGACATTTACTTTCTCTTAAAACAAGTTTTCACAGGTGGTGTAGGAAACAACGCTAAGTTTTGTCTGCTATCCTTAAGAAAATATTAGTAGATCATGTTATTAGAATACCTTGAGTTCTGGTATTTATTATGCAGTGTGATTTGACATGCCAAACAGTACAGGCTGGATGCCCGTTATATTGTTTAGAAAATATGGTACCATCTTTTAACATTTTTTTCTTCTTGAGAACTACCTCAGGAATCGCTAACTCAAAACTAAACTCCAAAGCAATTTGAGACGAAACTTTTTCATGGTGAGGGTGACAGAGCACTGGAACAGGCTGCCCAGGGGGGTTGTAGAGTTTCCTTCTCTGGAGACACTCAAAACCCACCTGGACACATTCCTGTGTGACCTGATCTAGGTGTTCCTGCTCTGGCAGGGGCATTGGACTAGATGATCTTTCAAGGTCCCTTGCAACCCCTAACATTCTTTGATTCTGTGTGAAAGCCAATTCTCGAAAATACAGTTATGTGACATGCTTGTCAAGTATTCCTCTTTATAGTTACTGTTGTTCACATCTGAAATGCCTTGTTGCATATTATCTGAAATGTCTGTAGTGACAAATAAAAGTAAGACCTTTTTCTTGGCTCTTTTCCCTCCATGTACGTTTGAATGAATGGAGAAGGAAGAGCATGCACTTAAAAGGTGAGTCTGTATTTAGTACCAGACTTACAGCTGTAAGACGTGTTTTAATCTTTGATTTTCCTGAGATAAAAAGCTGAATCTAGCAGAACTTTGAAGTGTAGTTTATTTTGAGGTTGACTGAAACAGCAAATATCTTTCATCCCAAAGAAGGGGATGAATAAAAACACTGCAGACACCCTGTGGCAACTGAGGCAAGTATTTTATTACTGTGATTAAGTTTTAATCTGAATTGTGTATCATCCTCAATTTAAAAGAGCCAAGCATGTAGATCTGACTCCGAGTTTCCCAACATTTATTATTTGGTCTTGTCTAAACTACCTGCCCTGTGTGCTAAAGAGGGGATGTTAATTGTAACATTGACCTCTTTGCTAGATAGATTCTCGGAGTCTCTATTGTGCTGCTGGTGTTCTGCCAGGCTAAGGAGATCACTGTCTTTCATCACTGTATTCTGTGCCCTCTTCAGTAATCAAAATATCCACTGTTACTGCACTGCTTAATGAAGCCAACTTATTCCAACTATATATGACACTTGAGTCATCTGGAAACAAACCTTAGGGTATAAAAACTGAGGAATTAAAATGGAATTAAAAAATTGAATGGTAAGACTTAATTTACTGAAGAATAAGAAAATAAAAGACATCTCACCGCTTCTCATTTTACAGTCTGCTGATAGAATCTCATATGATATCATTGCTGGCCCTTTCCCATGAGATAGCATTCCATTTTGAAATAGATCTGATTATTTACTTGGATAGGTCCTTCTCCTGTCTTACTCTCAAAAAAGACTAGAGTACTCTGTACCATACCTAAAGACTTCTACATTAATGTAAGCTGAGAGGTGAATGGTTGGAAAGGATAAGTTAAAAACTGTTCAGTAGTTCCATACTTCCAATAATAATATAGGAAAATTATAAATATGTATGTATGTGTAATATATATATAAATATGCTAAGGTATACATACACACAGACTTTTTATTATTACTATTATTACAACCAAAAGTCAAATAAATTTAAAAACAAGCTTGCAGAACAGTTATGGATTTCCAGTATTTTCAAATAAGAAGATAATATTATTGCTGTAATGTCAACATGGTATAATCACTGAGATGAATAAACCCTGAACAGCTCATAAAATCAATGAGAATATTTCCTTAGACCCCTTTGCAGCATCCTACCAGTAATCAGTATCTTATTCTAGTTATAAAGACTTCAGGGTACTTTCACAGCATGTATCAGAACAGATCAATTTCAAAACTGTTAAAATAATTTAAAAAATAATAAATTAAAAAAATTAAAAATAATCCAAGGATATACAAAAAATCAGTGATCCACTGTGCATCTGAAGATACACAAAAAGCTTTCTCAAAATAATATTATTAACAACTGAGTTACACTGAAATTGAAAATTATTGCAGTGAAACATAACTAACATAACTCTCAATTGTTAATCATAATAATTATTATTGATATTTTTTCAGTTACATAATAACAAAGTCTTGGTAGTTAACATAAAGTGAAGTAATTTGTGTAAGTAGATCCCATAAGTAAGATCCCATAAGAAATAATCACAGGATTATGAAATAACTTATTATTTCTCACTGATAACTAACTTTTCCTGGTCATTAAACATTGTCTCTCTAATCCCCCTGCCCTCAAGAAAGTAAACATTGGGAATTGTATTGGAACCTAGTGTTTTGAATCAGGCCACCCCTCGTTCCGGTCATTCTAGGCTGGTGGGGGTCTTTGAATGAGAGGACGTAGTGAGTGCAGCTGAAGTGGTGCCCTGTTTCAGAAGCGATACTCCCTACTCATTGGGCTGTCAGAAATCATTTCCTGGTGAAGGAGGCAACACTGATTTCAGCAGAAGTTATTAAGCCACAATGTGAGTAGATCAATTAAATAAGGATTTAGCAACTTCTCTGGTGTTTAAATAAATTTTAAAAAGGATTCCATGTTGATTGGTCTTTGTTCTTCTAATACCCATTACTTTTGATAGCTTCACTGAATACTAACTCAGACTGGTAGAGTTATTTTCCTTCTTTCCTTTTTATTTCCATTTTTTTCTAATTTTCTAATTTTCTAATAATCAATGAACAAAAGGCAGAAGAGTACCCGGATGTAAGTGGGCTGTGAGGTCAAACAGCACTCAGCAGTCCAGCTGTTTGTCTCTGCCAGACATTTGTGCATTTCTGTGTTCATTCTACATGGAAAAAGTTTCCACATCAAAATAAAACATAACATGGTAGGAAATTAAAACAAAAGAATCTACAGTAAATACCCCAAATTCACTTTGCACATCAGTATCACAACAAGCTCTGAGTTCAAAGTCAACTTTGTAGCTGATTTATACATGCTGTCTTTTCCTTCAAAATATTTTTCCAAATATTATACAGCATATATTTGAGATTTAGAATATAGTTGAGGTTTTATGTCTGATGCTCCTATTATCACAAAACTGTAAATCTCAAAAGAACTACTCAAAATGTGTCAATAAATCACTAGCTGAATGATTCCATACGTCTTACAATCCCGTGTCCTTAATAAACCTTTTTTTTTTTTTTTTTTTTTAGGAATACTTGTGAATATTTTTGAATTGTATATTCATTCATCAACAAAGCGGGAAACTAAAAGGTAAATTGTGTGTCTACTGGTGTATATTGGAAGTAGATAAACTGTTGTCCACACCTAAAGTAGATAATTTCTTTACATACTCAACTATAGTTGAGCTTTATATGCTAAATGATGCCATGACTGATTATGACCAGTTATGTGCTTTTTGATCAGAATGGTATTTTTGACCTAGATACTTTACAATTCATTCTCTCCAGTTTTTATGGATCATAAAAATAAGTACACAAGCTACAAGCTACTTGGGGCTAGAGGAAATGACAATGATTTAATTTACCTAATCTAGGTGTTAAAGTTGGGTGTGAATTTTAACTGTCTTCACTTCATTAAAACAGCTATCTGCTTCCAAAACATTTTCTAATTTAAAAGGGAGACAGTTACACTGACAAACTTTTTAAGGGGCTCCAAGATATAGCAGTGAATAAGATGTTTACTGATATTTACTTCCAGACCATACCAACATTCCACACAAGATACTTTCACATATAAAACAATAAATAAAATTTTCAGGTATGATGCAAAGAACTTTGCTTCTGAAGTGCAACATGGTCACCGTCAGCATGGATTTGTCCTTTGAAATCTACTGCTGCAGAGAGCAGGAAAAGAATGGGAAGAAAGAGGCATTATACCCCCCACCATGAAATGCTGCAGATTGTCGGTCTGAATTAAATACTTCTTTGGTCCTATCACGGTTGGAAACTGTTTCTTTCCAAATGGAAAGAGCAATCAATACTCTGAGATGAATGCACTTCCTACCTAATAATGAAACATGGCAACACTTTGTTTTTAAAAGATCAAGTTGAATCAAAACCTTATTTAACTAAATATGAGGAATGATAATAACAATCACCATCACCACCCTGGCAAAACAAACACAACAATAACGAAAAAGCAAGCAAACAGAACAAAAATGAAAAAAAAAAAAAGAAGAGGCTAGCCAGAATAAATATTACAAGCTTAATTTTCTTTCTCTAACTTTTAAGTGCTTTTATAGTATTTTAATTTATTTATATCCCAGATACTGCATTATGATTTGTCGGAATGAATTTTCTGTTAAACATCTCTTAAATTCACGTTATAGAAAATACTATAAATGTTACACATTCTACATACATTTATGTGTGTCTATATATATGATCAGAGATAGAAGAAATGCGAAGATTTAGGGAAATAATGTATTTGAGAATTATTCACAAATTGTACATATTATAACTTAATATATAAGAGTAATGTTAAGGAAAAAAAATGAAAACCAGCAGATCCTTTGACCTCCTACTTAACTGAAAAAGCCCAAATCTCTCATTTGTTTCCTAGTCTGAAATCTGGACTCTGACTGAAGTTATTTGATTGAAGCTTTCAAATTAATTTTTTAATTCTGACTAATTCCTTTACAAAGCATGAAGCTGTTTTGTTTCCAAAAGGCACACATTGTGATCATGAATACATCAACGAAAAGTGACCAAATAGATTTGGGATAACTTATTTGTGTACATGGAGGCCCAAAATGTGCTAGACTTGCATTCTTGCATTATTAATGTGTTCTTTTAAAACCTGATGTATAAGCAAAATCAAACAGCAGCTTGGGCCTTTTGAGCAAACTGTCTTTCAAGATAGTTGAAACAAGCCTTTGCTCTTTGAGTTTATTCCAACCTGAAGGCAGCACATGTCAATTCTGCTGTTTCACTTGTGAGGCCCTATCTTTGAATCTACCTGGAATGTAAACCTTCCATGATCCCTGGGATCTGCCTTCCTCTCAACTGATACATGCAGGGATTCTGCGTGCTAGATATTTCTATTCAGAGATTTAGAATGAACATTTTTTTTTTTTAATCTTTTTGGGGGGTTCAGTAATATGTATGGTCCACAAAAGGGATTTTGCTCATAAACTAAATTAAATACATAATAACTAGTCTCCTAAAAGGTGCATTACAGAACCAAGGAAATACTTCTCTATTTGCTAATAATAATAATTATTTTATATAATAAAATATAATAATTATTTTATTTAATAATTATTTGCTAATAATAATAATTTATTATTTGCTAATAATAATTAGCAAATTAGCAAATTATTTGCTAATAATAATTAGCAAATAATAAATAATAAAGTAATTAAAAAAAGATAACAAATATAATAATACATCTTTAAAGATACATAAAACAAGTCCCCCTACTCTTTGCAATTACCATTCAGATATTAATATACTGGCCTTTGATTTTGTATTTATTTTTTTTTAAACACTGTTTGTTTTCTAAAAACCTGACTGAAATACTGATACTCACATGCCAAAGGTTAAGTCAGGCATCTTGACTGCCTGCTGCTCCAAGGCCTGAGATTTCAGGCAGCTGAGAATTCTGGCCTTACTCCTGAAGGGTATTCAATAACTTAGTATTTCTTTCTCACTGAGCAGGAGGAGGCTGCACTGAGAAAAAGGAGTTAGGCTGTCACGTTTCAGAATAGGATGATATATTCTTCCCTTGCTGTTGGTATGTGAACAAATACAATGCTTGTTTCAGTCAGTTATGCAGAGACATTTTGAAGGTGCAGAGTGTGATTAATGCAAACTGCACTCTGGAGACAAAGCAAACAGGCTAGTCATGGCTTGTTTTCTTTTGAGGGGAAACAGCAGGGTTCATCAGCTCCAAAAACTGTTCTGAAGAGACCTCTTTTCTCTCCCCCCTCCTCCCTATCACACATTCCCATGTACATGCATCACTCACTCTTGTAGACCAATGCACTGACTGCCCATATCTATTCAGACCCAACACAAAAGTACTACGTGTTATTTTTAATTCACGTAATGAATGCCTTGATATCTCAGTTCTCAGCTACCAAGTGTAAAATACTAGGACTCCCAGGTTGGGTTGTCTGCTCATGAAAGAAAGACCACCAGAATACTCCCCCAGGCTACTGACCTCTCTTTTGCTGGAAATGGTGTTGCTGGCTCCCTGAAGATTTTCCATCATCTGGCAAATCCCTCTTCAAAGGCTTGCTATCTCTGAAGGAAGTATTGACACTACTTGCAATCTCGCAAGGGTTGCTTTAAAGGTGCTCACCAAAGGAAGATAGAGCTGACACAGGCACTGAACACTCTTTTACAGTTTCCAAGTTTTGGGAAAGGTGATTTACTTGAAAGATAGTTACTCTATTGAAGATGCACAGTGTGATTCAGAGATAAAGGAATTCCTGCTCTAACACAACTGTTACATTACATTGATAGGAAATCTTCAGAGAATCACTTAGGGGTATTCATATGGGAGCCCACTGCTATAATTTTGAATATTGATGCAGTCTGCGATGGAGGTAGCTATAGCTGCATAAAGACATGTAAGAAATACACAGTCCTTCCCCATACAGATTAGTGTTGTATTTTCTTCAGTTCCAGCAGATAATTAGGACATAATGCAAAGAAAAGCAGATGCTATTCTGTTTTTATTGCAGATGAACGGGGGCAATGAGATGTACTTTGCTACCTTCATAATTTCTATAAAGTGAAGAATGGTTGTTTCTCTATTTATACTCAAAGCTGAGTGAGGAAATTATACAACCAAAATATTATGCATAGTATCTTTACTTAAATGGTAACCACTGGGCCTTTAATTACATAGCTGACATTTTGTAGCAAGAATGATTATATGTTATATACCATACAGAGGTAATTAGGTATCAGCTAAATTTGTGGCTTTGCCAGGGAATATTATTTAGTCAGTAGACAGTTTTCGTTTAGTACTAATAACAATCATGGTTGTAGTGCTTTTATGGGAGGGAGCAAGTTAGCACTGAGGGTCAGCATTCCAGAATACTTCTGGGTTGACATTAGGGACATGAAACAAATATACTGTGAGAATGAATTTTCAATATCAGTGTTGCACAAGCCCTAAAAATTTTATGGATATCATTAAAGTAATTATCCAAAAGTTTGAATATTTATTCACAGTTGAGCTGGCTGAAGTTTTCCCTTTGAAACACTGTTTTACTGATGGAAAGATGGCTGTTGGATTAAAGACATATTCCTAAAATAAAATTACTCTTGCAAGAAATGGGAGAATTGGTTCTTCATGAAAATAAATAAATAAATAAATAAAATACAAACAAACAAACAAACAAAAAAAAACAGACAAACAAAATCAGTAGAACAGTGAAAAGTGTTCCTTTTTACTTTTCATAAAATAATTGAATGACTTGGGTTGGATGGGACCTCAAAGACCCCCGGGATCTAGCCCTGTGCCATGGGCAGGGATCTCTCCCACCAGCCCAGGCTGCCCCCAGCCCCATCCAGCCTGGCCTTGGGCACTACCAGGGATGGGGCAGCCTGGGCTGGGGCCTCACCACTCTCAGAGTGAAGAATCTGTTCCCAATGTGAAATCTAAATCTACTGTCTTTTAGTTTAAAACTACCCACCCAGAATTTCTTTTTTAATTTCTTCAACACCAGTAAGAAACCTGGGTTTATTTATCTGCAGTTTTGTTTCACACTTTGCTGTGATTCTGCTGATGGCAATTAAGAGAAGGAATGGTGGATACGAAGTGATTCAGTTTTCCTTAGGTGTCTCAGCAGTACAGTTTGCCTTCCCTAAATGATATCATGTGATTCTTCTGTAAAAATGTGTTCTTGAAACAAAACACAGACTTTGTATGGCATCTACAGCCTCTCTCTTCTCTGCTTTCTGCACTCTTTTTCTCCTTTTTCCTCTCATCTCTTCACCATCATCCCCCTGTTACCTTCCATTAGTTCTTTCATTATTTTCAAGTTTTCACAGCAAGAACTAAAGCTCTCTATAATATTTATCTCTTATATGAGCTTTATCTCTTACACAAGATCCTCATATTTAACATATCTGTTGTTGCTCTGCTACTTTACTCCTTTCCAACAGTCTCAGTTAGACCCAGGAGTCAGCTTCAGGCTTTTTGAAAGATACTGCTCCTCCAGGAGGGGATTAGATTGAATTTGTAGTGGGTTCTTTTGTGAAGTACTCATCAGTTCAGGATCAACAACACCATTT